TAAATATTTACAAAATAGGAAAAAAAACTAAAAATTAATTTTTAAAGGAAAAAATCTAAACCGCAAACCGCCTGCACATCCGTAAACCCTACCAGCACAAACTGCAAACCGCACTGCAGGCGATTACGATTTGACTTTTTTCCAAACCGCATAGGTATGGACGGATCAAAATTGAACCGCTAATTGCACAAATCCGATCCATGAACACCCTTAGCCTCCGTTTGGCAAGAGCTAAATGGGGCTTTTTTGGCTATTTTAGCCACAAAAGACAAAATAGGCTATTTTAGCCATAAAAAATAAAATATCACATCTAACCTATAATCATTACATTCTTCTCTCACAAAAAAAGCCAAAAAAGCCAAAAAGCTAAAAAGCCCTTCACAAACCAAACTTTTTAGCCCAAGCTAAAATAGCCAAAAAAGCCAAAAAGTAAAAAAACCAATCCACTTCCCAAACGGAGGCTTAATATATACCTACTCCGGGTAAAATCTGGCTCTTTAATTTTGAAAGCCTAGACTTTTCCTTGGTGATCAGTGAGGAGTGATTACACACCAACCAACCAACTAACCATATTCCAACATTATTCATTCATTAAACATTATTAGGTGAGATGTAAACTTCTTTTGTAATTAAATTAAATTAATTAATTATATGGATTATTATTATTATAAGGATAAATGGGTAACTGGACACATCACTGACTCATTAACTGCCTCGTAGTACTTAGTCCAACCATAGTTACGAAAGGTTATTAGTTGATTTGGAAGTATTTTTTTTGGTACATATTGATTGGGAGATACCGTAACGTGATATTTCAATAATATTTTGATTAGTGAAAGAAGTAAGATTTACAAAGTTATATTTAGTAATTAGAAAATATGAAAAGAAATAATAAACTATAATTGATGAAAGTATGATCACGTGATATTCCTGAACCAGTCAATAATTTTTTCATAATTGCAGGAATTTGGAGTGCACTTGCTCATGGACTTGAGAGAAACAGCAGTGATGGTCAAAGGGGCACTTTTGGAATTTTAAAAGATGATAAGTTCTTTTTCATCTCTAAACTTATTAAACTCAAACCCAAACACTAAAACTGTCCTATCATCTCATTTTCCCTTGCTTGTATGAAGGGTTGCAAAACAGAACGACTTGAAAGTGTATTAAAAAATGTATAAGCAAAATAAAAAAGAGGTAACTTCTAAGTTAAAATATTAAAAAAATTAATTAATTTGATCTCTTAATGATGGGGGCCATTAATTATATCAATATTATTAAAAGGTAAAATGGTAAATATATATATAAGATTTATAAGATTTATTGAGAAATTTTAATATACATTCCTTTAAAAAAGATGTACTATGTGTATCACTAATTATGTAGTTTTTTTCTTTAGTTATAATCAATTTTTCTTTCTTATTCATGATAATTTTTTTAATTATGACTTATAAATTCTTTTTATTATATCTCATGTTAATTTAGTTATGACATTTTTTTAATTATGATTTAAAAATTAAAATTATATATATTTTTCTTATTATTGAGAATATATATATATATATATATAAGAGGTGGGTGATGAAGGGAGTCGATGAGGGTAAAGTTCAGGCAATGCTCATCGTCGCTAGTGAGAGTCAAGGAAATGTTCACATGGTGGTGAAATAAATCCTCACAAGACGTGTGTGCGCGCTTTTGCTTGCTTGCACTTAAAAACCCATCTTTGCAAGCTTTCCGTTTCATGATTAATAATTAAGCACATAATCACACTCTTAGTTTTGAGAATTTGAAGTGGCTGCTGTGTGAGATGTATAGCAGTCTACTATTACACAGTTTAATGGATCAATTTTGGATTTTATATGGATAATTTGAATCGTTCATATGTTAGAATACATTAAGTAAAACATATTTGTAAAAAAACAAATTAATTGAATATCGTTAACTCTTTCTTCCACTCACATTTGTATTCATTTTAATACTTTAAATCACAATTATTATTTAGGAAAAAGCCTCATACCCTATTTATTAATTATCATCATTATCCTCCTTCTTTGGAGGTTTACCCATCTGTGTACTTTCTCTCTCATTGGTTAGATTTTCTTTTCTTTTTTTTTTTCCTTCTCCTCCAATCACCACCCGCCACATGTGTGGGGGTGATTGGAGAGGGTCTCTATCAAAGCTCTATTATTTATTTTTATAGATACAGATATGAGTGGATGAATGAGTAAATGATATCCGATTAACTTGATTTTTTGTAGATGTGTTCTACTTAATGTATTTTAAATTGTGAACGGTTCGGATTATCGACATGTGCCCCGAAATGGATCATATAGCTGGACAATAGTGGTTGTTATGTCCCCGCACAATAATCACCTCAAATCCTAATTTTGATTAAGATTCAGGACAAATAATGACAATATTTAATTATAGGGTGATAGAGGTAACCCTTTGTCCTTAAGAAAGATATATATATATATATTATTAAAGATATGCTACATCTTTTGATTAAGATTTTCAATTTCACTCTGAATAACATGGTTAAGACCTATGTAAAGTGATTTCATATTCTTTTCTCTCTTATTTTTAATCTCTCTAATTTCACATTATTAAAGATGAAATTAGAAAAATAAAATTAAGAAAATAAACCATTTTTCTATATTAGTATGAGATACATGACTTGTGGGGTGGGCAATGGTGTCCTCTTCAATCCAGTGCTTCCCTCTCTCCACCCAAAAAAAAAAAAAGATAATGGGCCCTATTTTTTTTTTAAAGGATCATTTCATAAGCATTATTAAGTGGAAGATTAGGCTTTAATGATTCAAAATGGTATTTCAATGGTGGAGAGGATAAAAAGAGAAAGTTGATAAGATTTTTTTTCACTTGTTGATAGGGAAGGGTAGGGTAGGGTGGGGTGCCCTTATCAACCCAATTTATTTAAGGGAAAAAAAATGAAAGATCAGTTAATACCTCATGATAAATATCAACTTGATGTTGAATTTCCACACAATAATTGTACTAATCTAAAAAAAAAATAGAATTTTTTAATATTATTAGTTTTCTTAAGAAGTATTGATTGAATTTTATTAACACATAATCAAACCACTCAACCTAATGTTTACAAGAATGAATAGAAATTTCATATACATATATATATTTAAGAAAAAAAAAACTTATTTGATATTTTTCTCAAAAAATTATTGAGGTATGTTGCCACAATGATTTTTTTAATAGTTTTTATTTATTTTATTTTACGAGTTGGTAGAAATATTGTTGAATAGATAGTAGGAAGTCCCCATGCTATGGTGTAGAAGAATACTTTCATTGATTCATGCCCTATTGGGGAAGTTAGGTTTTGATTAAAATAGTCAATAAAAATAATAGTTAATAAGATAAAATATCACATTTAAATGATAATTATTTTATTTTGATTTTTTCACAACCATCATATCAACTATAAAAAATAAAATAAAAAAATCTTCTCAAATATTATTTTTTAGTCAGAATAAAATAGTTATAAAATTTTTTTTTTAAAAAAGTCAAGTAAATAACATATTCCCAAAGCCATAAAATTGTGATTATTTGGAAACTTTTGAAGATTTGATTCTACAACATTAATTATTTTCTTATCAAAGATGCGTAATTAAATGGGATGAGTGATTTTGACCAAAGATTTCAAATCAAAGACATGTCCTAAGAAAGTTATTACAGATAAATAAAACATTTAAGTTTTATATATATATATATATATATATATATTACATAAAAATTTAATATATTTAACAAAAACGTAAATTAGTGAACAAAATACATGCAAATTAAAGCGCATTTACCACCACATTCCCACAGCAAAATAAAGTGACTTTTAATTTCACTTATTTTTCGTGTTGTCATGTTATATGTGATAATCATGTTGGTGCGAAAAAATAGTTAATCTTAATTTACTAAGGTTGTATATAATTCATGTCATGTAAAAATTATCACCCTACTTTTAATCCTTTTGAATCATTTAAGGCCAAAATATCAAACCAAAAAATATCTCAAAAATCCTATTAACAAAGTTTGTATATTAACGGATAATTACAAAATCAGCGAGAAATTTTTTATATATTTATGTTTAGAATTATAAGCTTTTCATGAATATGTATTTTTTTTTTTTTTTACACATTTGGAGTTTTGCTTCTTTCCTGATGTATTGATTGATTGGTGAGAATCATGTAGTTTGCTTGTTCTTTTTCCTCTTCAGAATGCATTGAGATACTAATTGTGCAAAATGTCATAATAGAAACATAACATTTGAAGCCAATTAATGTCAGTCAAATTATCCTTTTTTTATGGTTCTATCTTTTGCTGAGAATTGAAATTAACATTTTGCAAGGTTTGGATATTGTGTTCATACTCAGCTCTGTTTGATTGAGAAATTTAAGAAAAAATTTGAAAAGAAATAAAAAAAATAATATAAATAAAATATATTTATATTTTTTCTAATATTTTACATTTTTTTTTTCCTTTTTAAATTTCTCTCAAAATTTTCTAAGCATAGGAGAGTGATGGGCATATGTCTATACCAACATAACAAATACATACAAATCATGTAGTAGTAAAAAAAGTCCCACCCCCACCCAAATTTCACAAATCCAAAACCCCCCAACCCCTTCTCTCTCTCTCTCTGTCTCATTGTCTCTGAGTCCTCTAATCACTCACCTCTGTCTCCTTAATCTGTATTACGGAGAACGATGAGATATGAACCAACCACCGTTCCTGAAAACGCCGTTACTTGACGCACACCCCGTTAAGTCACGTGCCTTGAAAACTCTTCCATACACATACATACACTTCTCCTCTGTATGTCTCTTGAACGATTGAGTCTCGGCCCCACACCCCACGACTCCGACGCCGCCACCGGAGATGACGGAAGCAGAGCCCCTAGGCTGCCTCGCTGGACCAGACAAGAGATTCTTTAATACTCATATTCGCATTTGTTGATAATTTTGTATCAAGGGAGGGGTCGGACCGTCGGCATGGCGTTCGGGACCGGTCAAGTCGAACCCAAGTGGGCTTCGGTCTCGTCCTACTGCAAGAGGCACGGGGTGAACCGGGGACCGGTTCAGTGCCGGAAGAGGTGGAGCAATTTGGCCGGAGACTATAAGAAGATCAAGGAATGGGAATCGCAAATTAGGGAAGAGGCTGAGTCGTTTTGGGTCATGAGGAACGATTTGAGGAGAGAGAGGAAGTTGCCCGGATTCTTCGATAGAGAGGTCTACGATATTCTCCACGGCGGGACCACGGCGGGTGCTCCGACGGGTCTGGCGCCGGCGGAGGAGGGGAAAGAGGGTGAGGAGCAGACGGCGGCGCAGGAGGTTGAGGTTGAGGTTGAGGCTGAGGCGGTATTTGATAGTGGTCGGAGCGCCGCCGCGGAGGATGGGCTGTTTTCGGATTTTGAACAGTCGGTGCAAGAGGAGGGCAGTGGTGGTGGTGGCAGCCCTGAGAAGGAGTTTCCGCCGGCGAAGGACGTTTCCACCACCACTGTACCTGCTGCTGTTGCTGTTCCGATTTCAGGTAATTTGGATTGGAGAATTGCACATATTGCTAGATATAGACATAGATATAGTTGGTATGCATATGCATGCTCATTTGTGTGAAAATCCGATTACTTTCTGTTTGTTCGGGGAAATTTTTTTGTTTCAGAAATGTTTGCATTTCTTTTATTATTTTTGTGTGTAATTCACAATGAATATGATTTTTCATCGTAAATGCAAAAACAATATTATTTATGCAGAAATATTTTACATTTAAAATGCACAAATCGTTTTCCTAACTAAAGTAATCTATGGTTTTTTTTTTTTAATTTTATTGTTATTGTATTTTTTTTTTTTTTTTGGTTACATTGGAAAGAAATCTATGGGTTCTTTTGACATGTTTTGGGGTTAAAACAGCCATATGAGATAAATTAGGTTATTTTAGTTAGATAGGACAAAAGGACGGTTTGTTTTCATAATGGAAGAAATGAATAGTAAGGGGATTATTAGTGAAGGGATCAAGTAAAATTGTGTTTGTTTGGAGGGGATGAATAGTGAGGGGATTGTCAGTGAAGGGATCAAGTGAAATTGTATGTTTGTTTTGATGATAGTACTTGTTAAAATGCACTAGGCATATAATACTTGTTAGTTAAAATGCCTAGTGTGATTCACTTTTTTCAATTCCAATGCACTAGGCATATGATTAGGCGTTGTTGGGATTGATAGTCTGGCCAAAAACTTTGGGACCGTTTGTTTTCAGTAGTAGAATAACGGAGATTGTTAGTAAGGGAATTCGTAAAATTGTGTTTGTTTTGATAATAATTGGGATTATTAAATTATTTTTATATAAAATAAATATAAAATAATAAAACAAATAAAAAAATACAAAAATATTAAACATTAATGTTTTTAAAAAAATGCCTAACATGTAAAAAAATTTAAAAAAAATAAAAATATAATAAAAAAATTTAAAAAAAATAAAACAAATAAAATAATGATTTTTACTTAACAAAAAATAAAATAAATTAAATATTAACGTTCAAAAAAAAATGTCTGACATGTAAAAAATAAAATAAAAAATTTATAGTCCGCCGGACTATTTTTCTAATGCCAAGCCCTAGAGGCCCATCCGAATCGCCTTAGGGAGGTTCATCATAATCCGGAGCTCACTATCAATCCCCTCTCCATCTCTCAAAACAAACACAATATCAGTGAGTCTCACCTCACTACCAATCTCAATCCCCCCTCTAACTCTCCAAACAAACGGGACTAAAATGTCCCATTCAATTCATTATCATTTCCTTTTTTTCCCATTAAAGTCAAAAAAAAATCAAAAAATTTATCATAAACGTAACTTTTTAACCCAGGTTAAAATAGTTTAAAAACTAACCCAAATTCTAAACAGCTCTATGTCACAACATTACTAATAATACACTAAAACATTTAAAGCGTGCAAACCATTTTTCTAACCAAAGTTATCTTATCTATGTGTCACAACGCTACTAATAATACACTAAACCATTAGTTTCAAGTTGTTACCAAATTTTTTATTAAAAAAAAAAAAAACTTTTTTATAAAATATATTTTTAAGAAAAAGTGTTTGTATTTATTAATATATTGTTGTCGAAGAAACACATGGAACGGAGCGTTGGTGGCGTTCCTGTTTTCTTTTCTTTATGTTCTGTGTGTTGGGTCTCTGTTTTTGATTTGGTTTTGCAATTGGTACGTCTGCTAGGATTATGCTGATTTTTGTAAATTGATATCTTGATTTACAGAGAAACAATAATATCAACCATTTTCTATAGGATGCCCATGTTTATATATTATATGAAAGTGTCAAAGCCTTTTAATACTCATATTCGCATTTGTTGATAATTTTGTATCAAGTCAATTCCATCTGCTATAGTTTATGTCAGAATTGGTGTTTATTTTGACCAGTTCTACTACTACCAACCAACCCAGAAAACTAGTGGACACAAATTACAAAGCACACATTACACCTTACACATTACACATTACACGTCAATGGACAATATTTTATGAGATTTGTTAGCACAAAGCACTTTCAGAAAATTTCATCTATCTATATACATTCTCTGTGACCAATTTCTGTGTTGGTGGACTTATTCTTCTTTCAATGTCTAGTTGTCTACACATTCTGTATACAGTATTGCACACACTGCATTAGTAACTTAGTGGTGACAAAAATACATTTCAAGCCTTGCTTCTTTATTTTCTGATTGAGTTCTAATCAAACTTTGTTATTAGTTTGCATCTTTTTCATACCAATTTTTACTGGATTGAATTTGTGATACTGCAAAACTGAGATGACTCATTTGTATCATAAACGGCTTCACTTGCTATCCCTTTTTTCATCAAATTCTAGAACTGTATAACTAGGAAGCTTTGTGTTCAATAAAAGATTGATACACTTTCTAGAGACCTTGTGGTTGGCTGTGCTCTCAAACTAGTTTCTTAAGGATGATTCTGTGATTGGTAGAATTTGTTGGCCTTGGCTGTGCTTATTTTCAGCAAGGTGACCAAAGCATTTTTCAGAACCTTTGCCGCGTTGTACCTCATCTACAATTTTTCAATATTTCCTCAAATATACTGTCAAACCCTTGGCTGATGTAGTTCTACACTCAAAACTTCTCGCTTTCCTCTTTGATTTTCTTAAAGTAGAATTTTGTATGCATCTTCCTGCAGTCGTCCTTCTCAAAATAGACCAATGGATGACTAATCAATTGTCCGGAAACTTCTCAGTCATTGGCTTTATTACAGCCTACTCAACCACAGTTCGGAAATATTATCATTATGGTTAATGGTTTGCAATTTTTTTGCTTCATCAGGTCTATTTCCAGTACCTAAATATCCATTGCAGGACCCCACCTCCTTATTTTCTTCATGGTTTTCGGTAATCTGTATGGCACTGTAAAGATATAGACTCCCTTTTTTGTCGTTCTGTTATTTAAAAAAAAAAACAAAAAATGATAAAAGGTTGAAAATGTAAGTGTGCATTGTGATTAATATTTGGACTTCCATCAAAATTTAATACTTCATTTTTTATGCTAGAAAATATATTTATATAATGTGGAGTTGTGGCTTTGTTGTATCCTATGTTTGTGCTGAGCTAAGCTGCCGATGGACTTTCTTCTTAAATTAAAAAAGAAGAGCTAAAATGATTGAACAAGACGTTGGTCTGCAAATTGTGTTCTTATGAACTAAAAGATTTAACTTTTGTTCGATAGGTACTACGCCTGTGAAACAATCAAACCCTGAGACGGGAGCTACTTCTCAGGAAGGACGTAAGCGCAAAAGGTTTGCTTCCGATGCAGATGAGGAAACGAACACGCTGCAGTCCCAGTTGATCGAAGTTCTAGAAAGGAATGGCAGAATGGTGAGTGCGCAACTTGAATCTCAGAACACCAATTTTCAATTGGATAGGGAGCAGCGCAAAGACCATGTAGACGGCTTAGTTGCTGTTCTTCATAAACTGGCCGATGCTTTGGGCAGAATTGCTGATAAATTATAGCGAAGAGCTGTCAGAACAGAGTGTATATAGCAACAAAAATTTATATTGGAGTTTAATGGATTGGTAGGGAGGATGAAGGATTGAACTAGTTAAATTTTATAATTCATGTCGGGATCACATTTAGATGGCTTTTCACATATTTTTGCCCTCTTTTCTTTGTAGTTCTTTGCTTCTTTTCTTTTTCTTTTTTTATATATTTTTTTGTGGCTTATTGCCAATATAGGAGGATAGTATAGAGAGAATAAATAAATGGAATTTGAGTTACCATATTTTATTTTTATTTAATGTAATTCAAGTTGATATCAAGGTTTTGTCTCCATGGAATTGCAGTTAATGTACATACAGATTATTCATATTATGATGCCATTTTATGGTTGCTTTGTTTGTTGCTTAAAGTACACTCAAATCCAAGTTGCTTTCATTCACTTCTTGAATAATTTAGTGTCATGATATTGATCAAATGACTTTGGAAGAGAGCTTTGGTTCAGTAATATGTGTGTCAATTTCCGACTACACTGCCAACTAAGTACTCAGCTGAAGAACACCAGCAGAATAGATCAAGCCCGAATGACCTGCAACAGAAAGAAGAGATTCCGACGGTGGTTTGTCCACCCGATGGCACTCCGACGATTAAGTCAGTTATCTCTCAAAGATAGCAAAAGTGTTTAACTCACTATTCAGAATAAAAAGCATACCTTAGACCCATGGGGGTACCTTTCTTTTATAGCCAACACTTGCTTAATCCCAATAGAAGCCTAGCTTCAATAGACTTAGGATTACTGCTAATCTTGGACTCCCAGTAGGATTGGGATAAACTCTCTAAGAGTCTTATCTTTATCCAAACTAAAGTCATCTCCCATTCTAGAACTCTTGTCCCTTATCCGCTTATCCTGGATTCATGTTTCTTCGCAAATAATCTCAGCCTAACCGAGATCATCTCGGCATCATGACCAGAACACGTGGCACCTCGGCTGGCACTCCGGTACCACCTCGGCCACATGTTGTCATTCAAAAATTATGTCCCCACAACTGCCCCCTAGGTTCTATTACATCGGCATCCTGAAGTGATGGAACCTATATCATTCATTCCTTTAATCATACCCCGGTTTAACTTCAGCTTATAAATTTTTTTTAAAATTTCAACAAGTGTTAAAGATGACCTCAGTTTAACTTCAACTTGTAAATTTTTCTTAAAAATTTCAGTAAGTGTTAAACATGACCTCAATTTAATTTCAACTTATAAATTTTTCTTAAATTTCAACAAGTGTTAAATCGATCTTAACTTGAAAATTCCAACTCCCAAGCATCATTCTCCAGCCCTCTGCATGGCTTCCACCTACTCCTTTGTGGACCTTATATAAAAAGTCTTTAACTTAGGCTGAGCTTTTCTCTTCTCGGACTTAATCATCTAGGCCAAGATCTTGTCTTCTAGAATCTGGGATCTGCTCACTTTAGGCTAAGCTCTTCTCTTCTCGGACCTAATCATCTAGACCAAGATCGTGTCTTCTGGGATTCTCCATGCCTGACCTCCCGCGAAGGTCGGTGAGAATATCTCTTGGTCTCGCCATGTTGAGGGACTGCAGGAACCGTTTTCTGCCCCCCTTTCTAGGCACCTTTCTTGGCCGCTGGGTGTATCTTGTAGCGAGAACGATGGATGTATGATGTTGTTCTACATCAAAAAATTGACGATCGTTTGCAGGTCCGCCAATTTGTCCTCCATTCCCTTCATCTCGTCGTCCCTCCGCAGGCATCTATCTTTCCATACTTGGAGGTCGTCCTCGTTATAATATCCGCTCCGGTCCGATTTCTTCAGTTCACCACTCTCTTGGCCGACGTCCTTTCCTCCGTGATTCTTATCATAAGTTTCTTCGTTGCAGTTGTCTTCTTTAACGTCAAGGTCAATATGTTTCCCACTCTCAATAGGGGTGTCGTCTCCAACCTTCTCTTTCTGTCCGTCGTTGGCCATCTATTCTCCTTTCTTTCCCACAGACGGCGCCAAATTGTGTGTGTCAATTTCCGACCACACTGCCAACTAAGTACTCAGCTGGAGAACACCAGCAAAATAGATTAAGCCCAAACGACCTGCAACAGAAAGAAGAGATTCCGTCGGTGGTTTGTGTCACGACCCAAACCCGCCCCTATGGGTGTAAGCATCGCAATCGGCCAGTAATCCGTGATTACCAAAGGCCTACTTAACAGTAATGACAGAAATATAGAGTAAGGGGCTGGTGGAAGCCAAAACAGTAAATAAAAGATGTCCAATAAGCTGTGACAATCTGAATGCGAAAAGACTTTCATAAACAAGCCACATTCATAATAAAAAACATATATACAATCAGATACATAAAAACCTTCAGGTTAGGGACCTAATCCCTTCACCATAACTCTACAGTACAAGTCCACAACGTTTATTACAAATAGAGACAGAAGGGTGAAACTGGGACACCCCAAAACGGCCTTAGCTTGAGACGACTTGGAACCTCGCAGTGAGGCACAATGGTTGGCTTGACAAAACGAGAGCTAACCCGACGCTCCTAGCATCGATCCGGTGCCTGAACACCTACATATAAATATAAACAGTGAGCTAAAACCCAGTGAATAACAAATGCGTAAAGAGGCTAAAAATGAATGTCCTTTCAGTAATAAATCAGTCATATCAGTTATACGTGGTACATCCAATAACAAACAGTATAGTAGGTCTTAACAGACCAAGCAATCAGTTGATGGCCATCATAACAGTATACAGTATTAGTTCCAAGTATTGGAACCGACAGAGATCTCTATGACAGTAACAGTAACGGTAAATTACTATGGATGCCATGAGTACAGTTCATAAATAGGACATCATTCATTCAGTAAACAGTATCACTTCAGAAAACAGTACAGTTAATTGTTCAGAAAATAATCATCATTGAACATATCTTTACAACATTGTTACTCACAAAGCACTGGGCTATAAACAGCTAATGAGCGTCCTCGGATGCCAACCCTACACAGTTACAGAACGAACACACACTAAGTTACACACTTGGGAATCAACAACTTAGTCCCTATCTTGACTCGGTGTGGTTCTATATCAATATCCTCATTAAGATGCCTTAAACTAGGCCTAGAAATGCTTAGGATGGAATGAGGATGTAAAGATGCACTTTAAAACACTTTTCAGAATTTTTCAGAAAACAGGGGTCTCACTCGAGCGTGGCTTTCTTCGCTCGAGCGAGCTTGTCAAAACAGTGGGGTCGCTCGAGCGTGGACTTCCTCGCTCGAGCGGTCTGTAAAAATGCAAAAAGTGCTGGATGTTGAAAATCCTCGCTCGACGCTCGCTCGAGTATGAGACACAGTCCTCGCTCGAGCATAGGTTCTCTCGCTCGAGCGTGCGTCTGCGTGTACCAAAAGCCTAAGAGCTTGCAATCTACGCTCGAGCCAATATTCCATCGCTCGAGCGGAGCTCTGAATAAGGAATGGTCGCTCGAGCTTGAAATCCTTCGCTCAAGCGTAGAAGGCAAAATCTGGTTTTCCAGATTTGCCTCCAAAGCTCAAACCAAGAATTCAACACCTCAAAACTCAACCTCTTGGGCCCATTTTCTGGAAAACACTTAAAAACCAACAATATGACATGTTTTGAAGATCAATTGATAAAATCAAGGCCCAAAAGTGAGACAATTGAATTCAATTTCAACTCAAAATTCAAGAACATAAAGAACAATGCAAAAATTATACATGCATGAGTTCCCATGAATTCTAATGTTTCAAATCATGACCAAATGCAAGTTTTAGCTCAAGAACATGGTGAATTCATGGACTACATTCAAAATATGAACATGCATGTGGAAATTCATGAAAAATAACCTCAAAATGCAAAAATATGTACATGCATGCATGAATTACTACTCAACTCAACTCTTAAATTAATTCTTGACATTAATCTCCAAATTTTCATGAATCATGCAAGACACAACTTCAATTTCACAATTGAGAGGATGAATTCCTTACCTTAAGTCTTGAATTCTAAGTGTAGAGGTCAAATTATGCAATTCCTTCAATTTCTTCTAGTTCTCCAAGCCAATTCTAGATGAATCAATCTTGTTCTCCTACTCTCCCTCTCTCATACGGTTTGGGTCTCTAAGAACATGGCTGAAGAATGATGTATGAAGATGCCAAACAAGTTTGTAATGGTGGCCCACTAAATGGCAATTTGGTAATAACCTATATTCTACTAAACTAGCATTATTTAATCTAATTTAATCATTCCAAATCAAATTTACATTAAATCTGTCATAAAATCACATAAATTCTAATTAGCATAAAATACCAATCGATTTCTGATTCGGTCGCCGATAGGACCTTCAATTCGCAATTCAAAGATAAAACATGAACAGATCATTTAATGACTAACAGATAAAAATGGATTTAAAACAGTATACTAATGCAATCAGTTCAGAATTTCAGTATGATCCATTACTTGTCATGCTTAGTCAAAGATTAGCACTAATAATAGGTGAGGGTTGTCACAGTTCGTCCACCAAGGGGCACTCCGACGATCAAGTCAGTTATCTCTCAAAGATAGCAAAAGTGCTTAACTCACTATTCAAAATAAAAAGAATACCTTAAGACCCATGGGAATGCCTCTCTTTTATAGCTAACACTTACCTAATCCCAATAGAAGCCTAGCTTCAATGGACTTAAGATTACTGCTAATCTTAGACTACTAGTAGGATTGGGATAAACTCTCTAAGAGTCTTATCTTTATCCAAACTGAAGTTCTCTTCCATTCTAGGACCCTTGTCCCTTATCCGCTTATCCCGGATTCCGATTTCTTCGTAGATAATCTCGGCCTAGCCGAGATCATCTCGGCGTCATGACCAAGACACGTGGCATCTCGGCTGGCACTCCGGTACCACCTCGATCACATATTGTCATTTAAAAATTATGTCCCCACAAATAACTTCAGTGTTTGAACTGAAGTTGATCGAGGGATGTTAATAATGGACCATCACTTAACAGTCCTGTTTCGTGCAATTTATAGGGCTACTGTTTTTTGTTTTTGTTTTGAGAGCTTATGTTATGAGAATGTTTAGTATAACTTCTATTTATAATCTACAGATAAAAATAGTTTAAATAAGTTGAAAATAAAATGAATAAAAATGATTTAAATTATTTAAAAAAATTAATTATTGACAAAATAAGAGAAAATTACTTCTTTCAACTTGTGTCTTTTTATCATAAATTTTTAACTAGTAAGAAACTGTTTCAAACAAATCCAATATGATGAAGAAAAAAAACTATGGAACAAGGAAAAATAAATAAAAAATTTCACTGACTTGTCATTAATGGCAAATATATGATGAATATTTGAAAATTGAAGAGTTGTCATTAATTG